CGACAGATGCAACATGATGCAAGAGGATCTGTTACTCCTTCTAAGGCTGGCTCGTTCGCTATACGTCTGTGTGCCACCTGTAACAACCATCTACTCCTCTAGCTCCTGTCTGGCAGCGATCTGGTAGTCATAAGTAACTTGCCACAAGGGCGAATTCGCTACCTTCGACTTTCCACACCAACTTAGCATTTTGGAGTGGTGCTAGTTGGCCTAGCTCTTCCATAATTCCACGATTGCTCTTAACTCTTCAATGCTCCCATCTCTGAGCCATCGTTCCTTACTCTTTTCTATCCCCTAATCCCTCATTCTTGCCCTCTGGTTCAGACTTCTGGGTAAAAGTGCACACTCATTTTTATAATTTCTTCCTCCCTTTTCTAAACATTTCGATGTTTTCTGATATACCTGATATTCGATACAAACACCTGAGAGAACCTCTGATCAGTAATTTTGTTTCGATTCACTTACCACCTTTCACCACTGTTCACTTCAACCACCATTCACTTACCTTGACTTCACCCGATTTTCCCATCTGCATTCCCATTTCACGTAGCTGTTTATTACGCATTGCCATCGCCATTTGCCGTTTCTTCTGTCGAGTCTCCTGACGCACATTCTCAATTTGAGCTGCTACCTAAAAAACTGCACCAATATAGGAAGAGGCTTTGGAAAGGAAAAAATGAAGATCAAGAGAGAATAGATGTCAATGACAAATCGCGGACCTCGGTATTTTCTTTCAGAGCCTCAACAACGTTCTCAGCCATTGTACCTATAGAGTTGTCGGAAGCAACCTAAAAATATGGAGCTCATAACTTCCAACCAGCATCACATTACTGATCGCATTATTGTAAGAAATTTACTGAGTGAGTCAGAAGACAGCGAGTAGCTTGGAATCGAAACTTGAAATGGAACCGATGACCAATAAAAATACATAACCCTTTCTAAGGAGCAAATTCAGAAAAGCAGAATCCAAACGAAATCCGCACGAGACAGTATTGAATTGTATTAAATTTGAGGCATCTTGAGCGAAATTCCAAAGGCTACCTGTTCCAAGCGATGAAGTATATGTAAAGTCTTCTCAGCCAGAGCTCGTTGACTAGCTTCATGAGATTTGGCCATACCATGCATGAAGGACAGCATCTTAAAATATGATAGAGTTGATTCCATCTTACTGGCATGCCCAGACTGAAGGCTATAATATTAGGAACTATGCCGGTTAAGCCGAACTGACCAATTTCAACGACGGTCGTAGAAGGAAAGCTTTCCATTCCTGCGATTCAGTTGCCGAATAGAGCGGTGGATGATTTGACACAAGATGGGAGCACGCCTTAAATGAATTACATGAACTGTTGCCTTGAAAGAATTATAAGCTTGGCATGAGCAGCATCTCATAGTCAGTGAAACGAGGGAGGTCTAAAAGTAGAAACAACCAACCTTAGAAAGGACACCGCTATCTAGAATCTTTTGTTTCAACTTCGCGGCTTCAACAGAATTGAGAATTCCTGCGGTCACTTCACAGAGCCTACCTACCGCTATTACCCTCTCGCTCCGCAAGGACACATCACTGGAAGAAGCTATTTTCATGAAAGTGTCAGATAAGATTCGCTGAACATGGCTTTAATGGAGCACGATCCTCTCTGCTATATGTTGAATTCTATCTCATTGACAGTAGTTGCCATCACTAATATGCGTACAATTTTCCATATTCTCTCCCACATTTCGTTAAAAATTTAGGCAAGTTTCTGGCAGATCAATACGATCCCAATGTTGTTATCAGACCGCTACCTTAGAAACAGGGTTTGTAAAAAGTAAACTCGTCAAACTCACTTCGTCTCGTCGATTTCTTTCCATTGACATGTTTTAATGTACATGGCGATAAGAGCCTTTTCAGCTTCCTCGTTGCCAACTACGAGATTGCCGATAACCCGTGATACTTGAGCACAGAATTTGTTAACACTTTCCGTGCCTAAAACATAACAGTCACCCAGAATTTCGAACTCGGACCACCCGGAGGGATTATTTGGCTCAAGAAAAAGCTCGAGGCTTTGTATAGTTGTCCCAGTCCGCTTGCTCAGCATGCACACGAAATGAATGAATATCGATCCCAGGCGCGCAGAATCAATACCTATTTTACAAACAAGTTAGTATGAACTCACCAGAATCAGGTTTCGCCATAACAAAAGACAAAAGCCACTCTGCATCTTCCTTTGAGATACCAGTCAATATCTAAATTGTGTATTTCTTAGAAATAAACTTTCCATTTAAAAAGAAAAACCCACAGGGTGTACTGCTGGATCGTTCACAATGGCGGAAATCATTTGCAGATACTCAAGGCCTATCTGTAGAACGCCTTCATCCGTCGAGCGAAGTGACACGCATGAATGTAACACCTCGAAATATCACATAATACGTATGAGCTGTTTGACTAACTTTCCTATTCACAGCTCTCTTCAGTAGTTTCCAAACGAGTCCCGAGAGGGAACTTCCCAGTCACTTACTTACTTTCTTAATATCGCTAAGACTGACCAGTACTTTCAGCACATATTTTTAAAATTTACAATAAAGACACAGATCGAATGCGACGCTCAAAAAACTGGGTGAAGAATAAATACATTTTCTAAAGTGTAGCATACCTTCATGAATGCGTTAATAGCCCCTGATGACACCAAATCTACTCGTCCTTGTTCTGTTTTCACACATCGCTCGAAAAGTTTTCGTAGCTGGCCAAGCAGGAACCTAATTCACAAAAGTTGTTTGATATGCACAAATTTAAAGTTCTTTGCATATATTCCAGAAATAAATATAAGAAGGGGGGTTTTACATAAACGGCTTTTTAATATGCTGAGAAATGAATAAGAAGAAGATGTAAAACCCAACAGCAGCGAGATAGAGATCAAAGTTTTGGCTACTGATTGTTACGAAACTCTGAAATTCGACGAGTCCCCACTACAACCCCTAGCCAAGCGCTTTTTAGTCTTACTTTGGTCCTACCTGCCAGCACTGCCTGTGTCAGCCAGGGCAAGCAATCGCAGCGCTCGTGTTAAGCCACCGCATTGAGAAAGAGCACCAGTGAGTGACGACAAGGTCTCGTCTTCCTCTGCTTCGCCTAAATATGCAAAACTAAAGAATGAGTTAGTTTAATGAGGCCCTGATCCCTTCAAGAGTGCTTCACACTCGACTTCAATTTCATATAAGACCATATCAATGGGCTAATTTGATTGCAACGCCTGACTCCAGTGGACTAGCAGTTGTTCAACCGCAGCTCGAGTTATAGGAGAACTAGGAGCTCGAACTATATCTACCTCCATCAGCTTCTCCGAGTGTGGATACAAAGGACTCCACTGCATCTCCTAGCAAACCACGCATTCTGTAAACGATAACCATTGGTTGTCCCGGATTGGCTTTCTTCCACAACTTATCGTAGACGGCTCGAACTGGCAGCGATAGGGAAATAATCTGATTGTTCACCAGGAGCTAAATAAATAATAAAAGTAGATGGGTGCCGAAGGATTCAAAACAAGATCCCAGTTTATTTTCAGATTTATCATCTCGGATTGCTATGTTGCTACCATAGCTAACGGTGAAACAAAATTTTATCGAAAATTAGCCGATAAAGTAAAAATCACTTAACAAAACCTACGTTTTAAAAACGGGCAAGTTACAGAACAATTACAACTTGAATCTGTTCCAAACAAGTGCTACTTACCTCCATTCCGTTATCGTCTTCCATCAGGGCGATCATCTCGGTGTCACGACAAATTTTATTCTTTATATCTCGCATAAGTGGGCCAAGACCGACATCAGTTGACTGAAATTCTGATGAAGATTAGTATGGATATAAATCGGTGGGATTTGATTGTAGATCCAAAAATAGTACTCCCACTAATTATTGTACTCTCTTCTCAGAATAAGAAGAAGAGCAGATTTAAAGGGGAAACCAATCGGATTCAGAACCTACAGTCCCTATCCTTCACTCCTCCAACTATCGGGTAGACAGTGTAATAGACAGATTTGACCTGCTCAAACAAAACCTAGCGGATTCACTGTTTGGTCCTCTTAGAATCATAAAATCGAAGCACCTTGTACGGATTTCCAGTCATTCTCCCTTGAAGGAAATCTTCCTGAGCCGGATCTTTCTCAATTTGTATATGGAAATCTTCTTCCTCTTTTTGTTCTGGATTCAGAACATCCAAAATCACGGATACAATATGGGCCTGAAAACGTACAATTAACATCACACAAAAAACAAAATATTATAAAAATGATTTCTTCCTTGTTGCTTACCCTATTTGAATTTCCTATTCCTATTATAATTACTTATCGGCGCTCAAAAATGTTTTCTGATTATCTGATTCTGATCCTCCTCAGTCAATCTCTATTATTTAGTTCCAGCCGTATCAACTACGCAATGGATGCACGAGAGAATCCATACTCCTCTTTCGCCCCTTACGTGGGTTTTGCGAGGAACAAACAACAAATTGTTAACGTTTCGCGTAGAGTACCAGCTAGCTCTTTCCAGCTCGAATTTGTTTTCCAACTCAAGTGAAATGAGAAAAGCTTATAGTATAAGCCAAAAGTTCACACCTGGGTGTTCAAGTCATCTATTGCGTCTAATGACTGCACAGCCGCACGCATCAACATCAGCGGATCTTTGGCCGAAATCCGTCGAAGGAGACGTTCAAGGGAACAACGAGAAGCCTCTACAGCTCTTGTTCTTCTCAAAAGAACTCTAAAACCGGGCCGATCAATTCTATACTCATGCAAGATGACAATGCTATAATAAAGAGGTTTTCAAATTATTCAAGTGCGGTTTAGAAATAACTGGAAAACTAGCAATTGAACAAAAATAGCGAGCTCGTTTGCATAGAATAGCACAGGATTTCTCGCCAATAAGATAATGAACCTTTTCAAGAAAATCGTCGACTGGAATAACGGCACAAGAATGTGATCCCTCGCCGCTTTCAATTTTAACGATTCCACACCACTGCCAGTGAGTAAAAGACAGAGTAGTTCTGAAGTAACGTCTCAGATTAATGATGGAATTAAACCACTTCTTGTAAATAAAAAAAAAGATTATTATAAAGGGGAAGCTGAACTGACCAACATAACTACGCAACAAGGTTCCGAATGAATGGTCCGTACTCGTTTCCTGTTGTTCTTCTTCATGCATGCGCTTGCATTCCTGATAAAGAAAAGGTTAAAATTTGAGTACGTCCAAGAACGAAGGATAATGGGAAAAGACTATTTAGAAACTCGAGTCACCTTGTAAATCACTTTAATCAGCCACACATGCAGTCCTTCAGCATAAAGGCGAGCTTTTATACCAGGCCCTCCTCCTATGATAGCATGGGCAGCACGGAAGAAATGGTCAGTCATCGCCGGTGGTGCTACTGAAGCCATTGGAAGCCCACGCAGTAGCACAGAGACCGCTGCACCGAGGTGTCCCTAAACCATAAACCCAAGTGAATATCAGTGGGCTTCGAGTACAGTGTTGAGTGATCCTGTCGAACAGTAAATTGCGACGTTGAGAACAAGTAATATACATGGCCTATCCTAATAGATCCATGAGATTCAGGTAGAGCACCTTTTTTTGTTATAAAGCTTAATACCCGTGTGTAGATATCAGGTCAAAGGTTGAATGACCTACCGGCTGTGCTGCTACGGCTACGATGATTTTCGCAGCAGCCGCTCGAACAGCAATCCATGGAGAAAACAAACAGCGCCATAGCCACGCATCGTGCTCCTTAAGCAGATGTTCTACTTCAGAATCGAATTCAGCATTACTACAACATTACTTTGCTAGTGTCCGGCGTGCAATCTCCACGCATCCTCGGTTTCTTGCTTGGAGGGGCTTGACAGGAGGAAGTATTATTGTAGTCCATCTTTCCATACAACCAATCACCGAACGATGTACAATCGTCCAAATCATGATTGGCTATCTTTATACGACGGCGATCAAGTAGGTTCTTAAGGTTGCCGATTAATTTCTATCGTTACTATATGAATGTTTACTAATACTGCTATCTTTTTTTGATTTACCTGAGATATCTCACTAGGAATTCCACGTCGCCTCTGCTGCAGCTTCCGATAGATCCTCTTTCTCGTCGGTTTCGCATCCACCAAGCACTTGTCAATAATTGTCAAAGCAGCGAGCGTAGTATCGTGATCGTTGAACTTCATTGCGCTCTAAATTCATTAAAACGTAAAACTCGCACGTCAGAACGGAAATAAAAATTAGTAAAAAGAATTTCAAAAATGGTGACTAGACTGAAACCCAGAGTATATTGAAATTTTGCAGATAAACAAAAAATTTTTTGGAAAAGCTTAGTGCTTGATTACCTTCAGTAGGCCTCGGAATTTCTGCTGCCACAACGAGTCGGGGAAAGTATTCAGGGAACGGGCAAGTACAGTTCCACTAATCTTTCCGGACATGACTAGATCACACAGCCTAAAACTTGTAAACTACCCTCATGCGAGAAAGTAATAAAATAATTTTAGACAGCATAACCAACTTTGCTGTTCCCTTTTCATTTTCGAGCGATAACCGGCAAAGCAGCATCTCTATTTCCTCCTTGATGGGCTCATATTTATTAGCCAAATCGACCTGAAATCATTTTATTACCACCTTGGCGACAACACGTCCCGATGCCACGACGCACGTTTCTGGGTCGCTGGAGTATTTATATTATTTATCAGGTGTTCCTATATTTTTTTCATGTTTTCATGTATCAGCTGAGCTCACAGCCTTCCACAGAATCTTGAAGCATTGCGGTCCAGAATCATTCATTTCTAACCACAGATATAAGAGACAATAAAGGTTAATGTAAGGACAATGTGAAAGAGCGGTCGCCAATGGGTTAAGGAGGGGACCTTGACCGATACCTTGAAGAATCGAAACAAATGTAAAAGGTACTCACCAAGGTGCCAAAGACGATGTTGGAATCCAGCAACCGTTCCAAGCAAGTGACGTCATCACAAGAACTTTGCAATATAGCCAATGAATGTAGAATGCTGGCTCGTAAACAACCAAAGCAATTCGAACTAAAGCAGCGTATTCAAGCAACACTTTCAAGAGTTGACGCAATCAGCGATGGTATCAAGGAAAGGACGGCTATTGTCCTCCCTATGTCACAAGCCGCCGCACAGCCAACATTATGGGAACGGGACAGGTAGAAGTAGCCCAAAAAAGAAATCAACAAACCTGGCGTTGTAGAATCCCTGATTGATAGCCTGGTGCAGAAGCGGAGCCGTCTTAACGCTACGATCGTAACCACGCAGTTCTTCACGGAAAGCGATTAGTTGCTGTGTTTGGAGGCACAACTCCTCATGCAAGGCTTTACAATGAGTAGTCGTCATCAGCAAAGCATGAATTGCCGGCTAAAATACCAACATTTTTTGCTTTTGAGCAATAATACCCTGCGCTTCTGATTTTTGCAGAACAAGATCGAAACAGAGATATCTTAGCAGCATTCGAAGAGACGCAGGGACTGATTCACCTGTTGATGGTTGATCGGTGGAAGAGCAGCAATTAGAGCGTTCGCCGCATCGGGACTTTCGACGTGGAAACTTATCGGCGGTAATGGACGAGACTGGAGCCACAGCGATTCACTGAGTGCTCGACCTGCTGCCAATTGAGAACGAGTTTGCTCCATATCGCACAGCAAACGAGCCATCGCCTCCACGCACTACAAAATTGATAAATCATCATGCAGATATCTGTCCAAACTGGCTTAGTGTTGAACACCGCTTTCGATTAGCCAAAAGATTATATCAAGCGTTTTTCTATAAAGCTTGCGACTACCAGCTGCGCTTCCTATGCTCCAATTCCATCCTCTCATCCAGCTCTTTGACTTCCCGTCACTTAAGTCTCTTCTCTCGGTTCATGCTCTTCATCTCCCATCCCTTGCCCGCTTCTTTCCTATGCATCCTGCCCTCTCTTAATTGTAATTTCTCAAGAAAAAGGGGATTGAGTAGTGACTATAGACGACGAACACGCACAACAAAATGGAACGAATATGAAAAAATATCGGGTGTGTGGTACAAAACCGTACAAGACTTACAGATGCTCTTTCAGCATCCGTAGTTATTGGCTGAACTCCTGGTAGAGGTCGACATACTAACGAGATATCCATTCGAGCGTATTTACAGAAACCACATGACTGGCACAAGAAGGGGTCCTGAAATGCCCATGTAAAGCCCAGAAAAAGAAACGAGAGTAAAATCTGAAAGTGAAGTATTATTACAAAGTATTACGACATCTGAAACAAACCTTCTCATCATAATTAATAGCACGGCACTTCACGCACTGGAAAACGTTCTCACCGCAGTGTTCACAGAGACCGGGATTTGGTTGCACCACTGAAGAACAGCTGAAAAATACAGGAGCCACTCTACAACAATTGTGAAGGCCGGCCGCCATTCATTGAGAGCGTGTCATTTTGTTGAATAATATTGAATGTGAAGATTGAGTATATAGTTTCGAACACACCGTGGACAATGCAATTCCTGGTTCTGGCGGCTCTCAGTTAATTCAGAAAACTGAATCACTAATGAAGCTGTAACCACAGGTATTGCCAGAGGTAGTACAATTTCAGTGTCATTGGCCGACACCTAAAAAAAGGTTGCGATATTAGTTAAATACACTGTTACATTGTTAAAAATTGTAGGAATCGTCTAAGAAAAATAAGAAGTTGTCACTAACACTACATGTTGATGCACGTTGCCAGAGCTCTGGACACGTCTTCAATTCAACGGCAGATTCCACAGTTTTGGGACAGTAGAAGAGGTTGACGCGCCTGAAATCAGCTTATATTCACCTACTGTAGGCAGAGATGCACCTAGCACTGGAAAAATGCAATAATTAACCGGTCAGATTGGCTTATTCATTCTTATTGATATTACCTCCGTAAACTTACTAAAAAACGTGCAACTTTTAGGCCCCACACTTTCTTTCAACTTCTACACTTTCTTTCTTGTCAAACTCTTAATTTCAAATGGTTTTTAGAAATACCTATGGAATAAAAATAAGACAGCCTTTTACCCATAAAAAAACCGACAGTCCTTGTTCCCACTCTGCATACTCTCATTGAAGAGATTTCAACAATTTTGAAAATTTAAAACTTACTTGATCATTTTGTTGCGTTTCACATCAGTCAGCTTGATTGTTACTTTGCTGATTTCATAGTGGCAGGTCAACTTCAACATCATCGCGTTCGCCGCGAACCGTGCTTCTTGCTTGATTGAATTCAGCTTTACTGTTTCGGCAACGTCCTGGAATCCTCCCTTCTTGATCTTTTAGGGTGCATGATAATGACATTTCGCAATGTATCGAGAAATAAAATAAATGGAGAAAAAAACTGGAATCAGTTCAGACCAACCTTTCTAGAAAAACAGACAAGACACGGACTTGTGTCCATTAGCATTGTCTTCCATCCTAATCCGAGACCCGTCATCTGACGATACCAACCGGCATGGCCTTCCTTTTCAATTCTAGAACACGAATGATAAACACCAATAGAGCACCTAAGCACTCAAACAACTTCAGTGATGCCAACTGAATTTTAATTAGATTCTCATCTCAACGATAATTTAGACAGCCACTTTCGAGGAGTAAGCTACTCCGACCCAACTTCATGGTTGAGTGATAACTTATGTCTTATAAAACTCCATGATACTGAGATATGCCAAAAAAAAGCAAAAAAAGTAATCCAAAGGGAACCTGGCTACTGTTGCGCTGATCGCTTCAAGNTCTCAACGATAATTTAGACAGCCACTTTCGAGGAGTAAGCTACTCCGACCCAACTTAATGGTTGAGTGATAACTTATGTCTTATAAAACTCCATGATACTGAGATTTGCCCAAAAAAAGCAAAAAAAGTAATCCAAAGGGAACCTGGCTACTGTTGCGCTGATCGCTTCAAGTTCAGCATCGCATACTGCTTGCATTTCTGATGAGCTGAATAGACGTGAGGCATAGGTGGACAATATATCTGCCAGCTGAGCTGCATGATCACCAAGACCTCGGGCAAGGGGCCATAGGTCATTCCACAAAATACGAAGCAACGTCATCTGAACCATACTTGGTATTGGCTATCTTATTTTTTAGATTTTCTTTTGATCAATTCGAAGCAAACGAATTTCTAATAAGAACTAAACCACGACGAACGATTTAGATTTAGAATTGTGATTATTCCCACTCGGAAATTCAGGCTCGAAGAGTGAGATTGCCTAACTGCTTAAATTCTGAGAGAAATTCAAAATTTTCTTATCCGACATGTAAAATTTACGTGGTCATATAAGGACTGCTCACTTGGTTTTGACGACTAGCCAATTGAATTGTCGATCTCAGTAAGCCATGCATTAGCCATCTCCTGTTTTCATCACGCCCGATCAAATAACGAACAAGTAACATCATCAATAGACATCGATTCTTTTCTTCATAAATTATCCTAAAAGTAATTAGTTAGCAAAATTTCGTCGAAGACTTCACAGCCGCACAGTCCCTGCAGTGATGAATCGGAAATCCTTCGTATTAAAAGATTTTAATGCCCAGAGATGTCGCTCGAATTTTGAGCAATTACTACTAAAGCAATATAGGAACTAGCAGTAAAGACTTTTCAATCGCTATCACGCAAATGGCAAGCGTTGAGTTTTCGAAAAGCTCATTGAAAGATAGAAAATCACAAAATTTTAGTTATTCGTAGCCTAGAAATCGAACCACTTCTACAGTCTTGGGGACCGTTCGCTTAGAAAGAAGGAGCTTGAATGTCTTCTGTACCGACTCCCTGTCACATACACAACTGCCCAGAACAGGCTGATTTTAACATTGCGCCATGCACATGCTTTGCTTAGAAATCACGGAGCTGTTCCACCAATCGAGTCAGGGCAGGTAAGGTTAGCTTAAAAGAGTCCGTTCTGCCATTGACGTTTTGTGACGTAAGGCTGCTTGTCATGCGATGGAGGCGAAACTTGATCTCAGTAGGAATAGAATGCAAGCAAATAAAAAAGTAACATTACATACTTATCCGCAAGATGAATGTTCTCCCCTTGACGTCCAGGCGTTTCACGAATTGCTGATACCAACAAGTCTACTACACTGCACGAGACTGCATCGGCTACTCGACACGCTAATTGTAGTAGCCAGTTGAGCTTAAGAACACGTTTACCAAAGCAGCCTTCTACTATTCGTAGCTAAAAATAATCGAGTGACAACGTTACCTGTTCCTCGCAGATGCTCCTCCACAACGCTGTACGCTGATTAGCCGTCACGGCAACTGCACTTACAATCTCTACCATTTCAGTGAGTTGTTGATGGTTGAAATGGCTGGAAAAGTTGTATGTGCTTGTCCCTTAGTTCTGAAAACCTATATTACCTGCTCTGGGCGTATTTCTTCTTCAACAACTCAATGTGGGCTCGCATCATATGCTGATCACGTACTTCACGATACTTCTGTTTGTCCCCATTGAACATTGCCAGTAGGACTTTTTTGCTCTGCCTCCGAAGCTGCGGTGCATGCTGGTAGGAGACTAGCTAAAATAAATCGTTCAAGGAATGTGATCCTTCAGGCAGGCGATATCAGGAAAATTGTAAAATTGAAGTTCAAAGATACTGTCTACCAAAAATATGCGTACCTCACAGAGAATTCGCTGCCACCTCTCGTCAAACTTCACATCGCTCAAAATTTTTCTCATTTGGCAAGGCAGCCGTAACGCCACATCGGTGATCATCGTGTAGTAATGTTCACGAGCATCCATAACCCCTGTAGCACCTGAAGAATCACTGTACTATATGGGGAAGGATGTTTTTCATAAGTCATGTCCACTTCTTTTTTGCATCAATTTTCATCCACCAGAGCATTCCAATGCATTTTTCCTTTACAGAGAGGAATCAACGGCGTCCATTAGGTTCGAATTTTCGAATTTTCAATTTCGAGTTAGGCAAAGCAGCATGGGCCATTTACAACTAAAAAAGCTCACGACCAAGTCAAACTGAACCCAAGCAGAAATGAATACGCAATCGTAAAAGCCTGATAGATGCAGTAAAATAATCCGCCCAGTAGTGTTCGATTAATTCAGCTATTCGAATAAAGGAAAAAGTACAAAAAATAAAATCTATAAAATAATATGCAACAGGTAGGGCAGCCAACACACCGCTAGATATTCCTGAGACAGATGACTCGCTCGAACTCGCGCCAGAGTCCCGCGACCAGGCTCTAGGAGCTGTTCTGTGTTCTCTCGCTGTACGCCAGTAACTTGCCACACTTTCTAGCAAATCACGACAAAACTCAAGCGCTCCAGCATTACAAAGTTGGTTTACGATCTGGAAAAATAAGGGTAAGGAGGAAATACTAAATTTCGTGAGTGCCAAAATATCTCTGGAATCCAACATAGCATCAGTGAGGATCCTGACCTTGGTACTAACCTGCGCGAGCAATTTCTCCGTGCTACGACGTTTTGTCGTTGTCCTTTCATCCGAAGAATTAATAGGTGTGGCTTCTCTTGAGCCATCAGCTGATGTTCCAAAATCTACTGCGCCCGAAGGCACTGATCCTGATGGTGAGCCCGTATCGGCATCTGTTAGTACAGTGCTCGAACCAGTTCGCTTTTCTGAAAAACAACAAATTTCAGTTCGTAACAAAAACTACTGGAAATGTATTCGAGTAACTGAGCTTTTGTCGAGGCACATATATCTAAAAAATATGAGAGGAAAAATGCTAGCTTTTTGTGCAGTTTATTTTCGAAAAACTAGGAAAATGACATCGGAAGGGAAAAACGGGGAAATTAGGAGGAAAGGAAGGGAAAGTCAGGAATCCCACTCAAACATGAGGTTCCGAAGACAGATTGAAAAAAGCAGCAATTAATGTGGCCCAATTATCACGTCTTTTATTTTCAGAGGGCCGAATCGTACCTTCAGTCTCCTTATCGTTTTTCTTCCTATTTTCCAAATGTTCTCCACATTTCAGGAGCAACACGAAAATAAGCCGGAATAGTAGGAATTGTCTGGAATAACCACATGATAGTAATACCAAGCAATTCATCCCAGATGAAAAGTTCCGTGTTATACTGCTTTTCTTCAAAGTCTTTCTTAATCTCAGCTTCTACTTTATAAAGCCTATGTACCTGTAATTGTGATCATTTATCTCCACGATACTTGCTTTCCAGTTTACCATAGCAATCAGTTGAACAACCGTAGGGTAAAGATTGGCTGGATATAGTTGGGCCATAAGAGCCATTGCAAAGATTAGAAGAGAAGTAGATGGGACCGTGTCACCACGCCTAAAATCGGTAAAATTCTTTGAGAAGCGGATGCCCTCGAAAGAAATCAATCCAATTATATTCTTACCCTACAGGAACCCCTTCGACGGGTAAAGACCCTATGGACCCCTCATCACGGATCTTGGCTAAAACCGCTTGCAATAGATGTAGGAGCCATTCGCTTTCTGAATAATTTACGGTCAATTAAAGTGATTCCCTAATCGGCGAGTAACGGTATTGTATATGAATGACCTACCCAAGTCGAACATGTCACTATTCCTTTGTGTCAGAGCCTCCACTGTACACAGTGGTCCCATGAGGAACTCTAGCTGCACCGGATCATCCTCTGGGCTAAAATTGTCATAAGCCTGGCGCTATTGAAAAATATAGCATTGTAGAACATCTTTGAAAACAACTATACCATCTCACCCACCTCAGTATCTTCGTGCGATTGAAGAACGGCCTCAGCCCACCCCAACGCATCACTTTCGCTGTCGGATTCATAGAGCGTGCTTGAGACCGATCATTTCTGGTCGTTAGC